TCATGGACAATCCATTGTGTCTTTTATTGCGTCTAATTTGTATATGAAACATCCTTTTTCACGTGAGTGCTTCGTCATATTGTTGCTACTAGGCTATGTGTAGGCTTCGATTCTTATAATATATCTTTTCATGCGATACTTCTCTGTATTGTGCATATCAAAGTTGACTGACCCATTTTTTCCAGTGTTCCTATAGATATAGACATTTAAATTCTATGAATGCACTCTGTCCTGCAGATTTGACGAGATTGGAGATAGGTCCTTTAACCCTTTGCTCTCGAGAGGTGCCGTTCAGCCGCCATTTGATAAAATTTCGAAGCTCGATATTCATTAATATCTCAAATTTCAGATAATGTAACGATGTTAATCCTTGAAATGTCGTCCTGGTATTCCGTTCATCCTTTTGTTTAGGATAGACTGTATATCTAAATGTGAAGGCTCTGAAATTTTACAAGTACCAGTGTTGCGGCCCTAGGACCGCAATGTCTCAGGCCAAATGGAGGACTGCTTTATGTCCTTATTGTCAGCGTCCCTTGACTTCTATACACTCATTGTCACCTAAGCCACCACTTAGGTAAACCGTAAGAGGCAACAATATATCACCTTTAAGACGACAGGCATAAGGACCCAGATTGTTTAAACAACCACCATCACCGAAAGACGCTGGAGCTAGCACACACCCCCAATATTATTCGCAACCAATCAGTAGACAGAGGAAGCTTATAAAACCATCGACAGAACAGTCACGAAGAGAGTTCTACTAAAATACAGTTCACTTAATACTTCGAAGCTAGACACAACCTTCCTCAATGAACCGGCCGTCACTAATCGTCGCCAACTAAGGTCGACCTAGTGACGATATACAAACGGTGTGCGAGGTATCGAAATCAAATAATTCTACGTGTCAATTATCTCACGACTGCTTATTTACTGCTCAGAAAAGTATCGTCAAATTTGTAACAGAAAATCTTTGAACTCCTATTCTTCTTTAGCCAAAAAATCGTCGAGTGCAGAGGGTTAAAACTCCTCGAAACCTAAGAAAGATCCGCTCTACAGATTTATAAACATAATTCTTTGTTTACGTTGTACCTTAGTAAGGAACTATTTAGTGAAGTAAATTAGGAAATTATTTTATTGATTTTAACTTGTTTAGGTAAATATATTTTTAATGAAATTTAATCGAATATTGATGAATTTTTAAGAACAAAATTATGTAAATGTAGATTAATTTTGTATTATACCAAGTGCTGTGATAAATCTTGGTTTATCAATATCGACGAAGTTATACCAATTATTATTATTTTTGTTCGTTTATGTACATAAACATACAACGGGTGTTTCTAAAGTTCTTATTTCCTATAAAAATGTGTATGCAGAAAGTATTATTAGGTTAGTATTTTTAGGATCCTATAATGACAAATTAAATATTTGTACAGGTCTCATAGAATCATACCAATTCTCTGTAAAAATTATGCAACTGCATAAACATCCCTTTTCTAATTATGCCAATACTAAAAACGTGAACAGAAATTAAGAAATGTATGCAAATGTGACTAGTTACGTTTTTAAAATTCTATAATAAGAAATCAAATTTCTGTTCAAGTTTTATTTCTTATAAAACTATACATTTGCATAAGCGTCCCCTTTTATACAATAAGAATACAAAAACTTGAATAGAAATTAAAAAGTAGATGCAAACATAATCGCTGCGCTCCTGGGAAATCAGTGCACAAGTCGAGAGAACGAAGTTGCTCATGGAAGTTATTCCTTAATACAGTTCAATTACTAAACTAATACAGTAGAACGTCGATCATTCGAATTAATTAGGAGACAAATCTGTTCGAGTAATCAATTTTTCAAATAATTATTCCGAAAGAAATTTTGAATTATGTCATAAATCGACTAGAAATTAAAAATTATTCATAATTTTATATTCGAGATTCATGTTACGATAGTCTTCAAACCTAGATATATAACGCACCGAATTTTCAATTTTTCAATTTAACCTATTCACGAGTAAGTCCTAAGCCGATCTTCCATTTAACTCACTAGCGCCACCACGGTCCATATCTCCAATGAATGTAACGTAAATATACTACATATCGTTGAATTATTTTCTATTCTACCGAAATAATCTTCGAATTTTCCTTTTACTATTCTTGTTACACGAATGTGACAATGTTGTAGGGATGCGACCTACCCTAAATTAATTAATCTAAACCTGGTTATGTGGATAGAAATGGACACCAATATCTTCTACGTTTTTTAACAGTTAACACATTAGTATATTTAGAATATTGGAAAGAATATTAGAAGCTAACTTCAAATTCGAACTATTATCTTATGTTTTCCTTAATTTTATTAGACACTGGCATTTTAGATACAACAAATGAAGAATGTCCAAAGTTTCGCTTCTTTTATTTTACTTCTTTGCGAAGCACTGTACTTCTAAGTAGAACAGATGGGTTTGTAAGAGTAAAGAAGCTAAACGTTTATATCGTCTTCTCTTCCTTTTATGAAATACAAGGCATTTGCGTGGATAGAAATGGACACCAATATCTTCCACGTTTTTCAACAGTTAACGCATTAGTATATTTAGATAAAAATATTTAAATAATGAAAACAACTCGCGATAAACTATTTTAAACAAAAAATTGATTGACACTTTCTAGAAAATTCTTCTCTCTCTCTCTCACTCTTATTAACCGTTACATACCCATGTTTCCTCTTTGACGATTCTCACATAACTATTTTATTCTGACACATTCTTCTAAACATTTTTTCAAACATCATTCATACTATACTACACTCGTACATATTATATTTATATCATCGCAAACGAGTTTCACTTATTCAACCTCATTCGCATTCACAGGTATAAAACCAACTCTCATAGGTTAGGGTAGAATTAAAGTATTCCGACGTGCGACTGTTCTCTGGTGCTGAATTGGTCTTAACTGTCTTAGATTCGAACTCTCTTAGATTAGAACTCTGGTCGTGATTGTTGTCTTGTCTTCTTTGGATTTTAAGAAGAACTCTCCGTGCAATTCCTGTCTCAGAATTTTATAAATTTGTATGTGCTCCAATTGGTTGATGTGAAATGTAAGTGGTGGGTTAGGTTGTGAATAATTCCTATTGGTTGTGAATAATCTTGGGGGTGTGTATTAGCTTCGACGTCTTTCTATAGTGGTGGATGTTTAGCACATTAATCCCTTGGTTACTGTGGGCGCATATAAACGCTCAACACAGTTTGCTTTTCTGACACGGAGGGCGCATATAAGCGCTCAACACAGTTTGCTTTTCTGACACGGAGGGCGCATATAAGCGCTCAACACAGTTTGCTTTTCTGACACGGAGGGCGCATATAAGCGCTCAACAGAGTTTGCTTTCCTGACACGGAGGGCGCATATAAGCACTCAACACAGTTTGCTTTTGTGACACGGAGGGCGCATCTCTACCCAAAATTTTGCCGTTCTCTGCGGACATTGTAAATGAATTCCTACCCGTGTGGTACGACTGGTGCGTTTCAAAGTCTGCCATGGTCAAAGGGTTAAGTACAACACCGGTCGCCAGGGACTGGTGCTAGACTTTCCGTTCGGGCCCAGCCGGTCCTCAGGAACCAGGCTAGGCCCAAAAGGTGCTAACTTTTGGTGTTAAATTCTTCGCCATCTTTGGACCTAGCCTTTGGGAATTCCTGTTATACCGAGTTTTATGAACACTTCGTCTGCCGTCAGTGGCCCACTTGATGACCGACTCTGGGCCTGAACGGAACGGCAAGCAAAACGGGCTGGACACTTAACGTGTTAAACAAATTGCATCCTTATGCCCATCGTTTCAAGGGTGATCTATTGACTCTTGCTGAGCTTCGTCCAAGTGGTGGCCGAGTGATAACCAGTATCCGCCATTTAAGGGACGCTGACAATAGGGAAATAAACCAGTCCTCACTTAATTTGGGACGTTCGGTCCTAGGACCACACCTAGGACACACTACGTGTGCCATATATTACTTGCACGATATTTTCACAAATTTTCTATCGTACATATTACTTCTATGGGGTTGGCAAGAAAGTACTTTCGGTTTTTTAGTGTGAAATAGAACTCAATTTTTTCCATACAGAAAATTAACTTTAATCGGTCAAATATCTTCCATTCTATTCGATGACCTTTTGCCATCTTTCTGGTAACTTCATGATCCCGCGCTCATAGAATTTCTGGTCCTTATCTGCAAAAAACTTAACCAAGTGCGTAAATCTCAGAAGGTCGACCAGAACGTTGTGGGTATCTTTCAGTGAAAAATCTTCAGAACGAAATTTTTTAAACTAATTCTGACACGTGCGTTCTGTTAAACAATCAACACCATAAACTTCTCGTATCTCTTTGTGAGCCTCAGCCGCATTCTTGCCTTTATGAAAATAAAAAAGTAAAATGTGTCGAAAATGCTTATTTTTGCACTCCATGTTAAGACTGACCGTGAACTGACGGTTATAAACGAAATTACACGGAATTTCACGAAATATCAACCTAAAGGTATCGACAACCACATCTCGAAAAAAAAAAATTCTAACATTGACAAAAGAATAACTAAACAAGCATAACATTATTTACAGATGCAAACCGAAATTACTTTCTTGCCAACCCAATATAATGAGAATTCGCATAATCGACGTTCCACTGTACAGCCCGTTCACACCTGCGCACGTTTTAAAATTACGTGCTCGCAAATAGCGACGAAAGATGAGAAATTTTCGAAGATTCGCGGAAAAATCATTGATAGAATTTCCTATCGATATTTTAACGATTCCCCAGTAACGTCTTCACAAATTTTCTGTCGTACGTGTTACTTGCATAATCAGAATTCGCATAATCGACGTCCCACTGTACAGCCCGTTCACACCTGCGTACGTTTTAAAATTACGTGCTCGAAAATAGCGATGGGAGAAGAGAAAAGTTTCGAAAATTCGAAGAAAAATCATTGATAGAATTTCCTATCGATGTTTCAGAGATTCTCCAGTGACGTCTTCATCGTCGTTCGTTGGGCGGCGCTTCGGGGGATGGCGAGCCGGCGGAAGCCATGAATATGTTCGGTGTCCTGTACGACAACCTGCTTCCATGGATGAGCGGTAAGGAATCTCTTTTATGCTTCGCTCCAAATACACGAAATATTTCGTCCAAATAGCTTGACCCCTTTCGATGAAATCGAACGACACAAATTGATTTTCAAAAGGTTCTTCGAAACGCTAAAATCAATTGGCGCGTTATCATTTTCAAATTGTTTCCTGGTTTTTTGTATTTTGTTGCACATCGTGACATAAGAAAACTTACTATAGGTGAATATCAAATTTGCGTGGATTAAAGCAATCTTAGATATAATAGTATGTTATATGTATTAGATTGTCTGGAAATAAATTGCGATTTTTAAACATAATTTTCGAAATTACTGTAAGTTCGTGTTGAATGAAATTGTTTCATGGGAATAGGATGTAAGATTTTTATTCTACTGTTGTGAGAAGTTTGAGTTCCTAGAATTGATAAATTATTTATAAACTTGTACATATCATGTAAAATTTTTTATTACTGATAGTTCACTAATACTGTATTATATGTATGTTCAATGTGTCTTCATTAAATTTGTGACTAACATGTTCAACAGTTTTAACTATTTCACATCCTTTTTTGAACTTACGTAAATAAAAAGTATAAGTAAAAATAAATACGAAAGATTGAAGTTAAATAATAAAATAAAATAATTAAATGATAAAAAATCAAATATAAATAAAAAATTGTAGGAAGTTACTTTCTTTCCTGTGTCACGATAAGAGACAAGATTAATCATAATTAAAGGCATAAAATAAAAATATAACTATAAGACAACCATAATTACATCTGAAATTATTTTTAATTAAATAAACGAAATTCGAGATTTATTTCTGAACAATTCTATATGTATATATTATGTTTGGGTTAAATATATAGACCTGATTATTTCCGTAAGTATTAATACAAATAAATAATAGTAATAACCAAATATTATATTATAAATTTTTTTTAAATAATTAAAAATGTTAAATAAATGTTTCAAATGAATTTTGTGCAATACTAAAGAGGAAATATCATTAAGTGATTATTATTTGACTTTGTAATAACATTGACGAGATCTGCAAAAGTGACATTTAAACTTTCTTGGAAACATGTATATACATTTAAATTAAACATACTATGAACATATTACATATAATATATCAATTATTAATTTTTCCAATTTTTGTAAACCAGTCTTGTATTTTAAAAATATTCGTTAATTGCAAATTTCTAAAGTGATTAACATTACTGTATTAATTTTCAATCGTTTCAAGGCAAATTGCAAAAATCCTAATACCCAATACAGAATCCTGTGAAAACAAAATTTTCTGGTGTATATATAATGCAGAGTGTTTCTTAATAAATAATACAAGTAAGCACGGCGTGATTCTTCGTGTGACGTTTAAATAAATCTGAAAGAAAATAAAGTTTTTCAATATAAAACTTTAATTTCAGAAAAATTGAATTTAAGAATTCTTCTGATATGTTTAGTGCTTCTGCTATTAATACGTAAACTACATTAGCAGCTGTTGATACAGTTACCGATAAATGTCGATAATATCGAAATGTTATTAGAATTTAAATACATATATTGGAAATATCATCCAGCAGTCATCGTTAAGACGGGACATTTAAAAATCAATTTAACAAATAGAAAGCATAACTCAATCACGAGGTAAAATAAACATGATGTAATAAATTTCTCAAAATATAATATTATATTTCATCAGTATTTGTCAAAACCAAGTGAACGATTAGATTTTAAAGCAGGTTAAATCGTATTAAATAGTATACTATCTGTAATAACTTCTAATAAAAGTAAATAAATTGTGAATGATTTTGCTACAGTTGATATGTTGCATTTTTTTCGGATACTTCTTGTCTCAATTATATCGTAATAGTATTATCTATATATCATACAGTGTCGGTAAAATGTCGATAACTTATCGATAATCAATAGCAATCTGTATATCATTTTATGTACATCCATTGCTAATATCGTACATCAGAATCATAAGTTATTTAGGTACAAAAATTATCAATTTATAAATTAGAAAAATTTCCAGATCTAATTTTTTTTTAAAATAGGGTTTAATATAGAAAAATTTTATCATACATCTTCTATTGGTTCTCATATGTAGAACTGTGTCATTCTCTATAGTACGAAAAAGATTACGAAATATTGTGCACAGTAACAAGTAATTTTTATTAAAAGTTAAAATATCTTCTTAAAACTTAATAACTAACTATTTCATAATTTAATAAAAATATTAAAAAGGTGATATTATATTTGCAATAAAACTATATAATATAACTTTATAATAAAGATGAAAAGTCGATTCTTAGTTCTTTTCTCTGAATACAGTGAAATGCACTGTCTCTAAAATGCATGTAAAATATATGAATTCAGAATGAACTCGCGATATTTTTACGTCCAGTTTGCATCTCTTTCGTCTCGCAGCGATAGATATAGATGTCGCCGCAATTGACGTCGCCTCATCCTGCAAATATCTTTCTCCGCTAAAGGCTACCCTCCAAACTTGGTCATATGCCAAGTTAACATTCAAGGTCATATTGAGATATACCAAGTCATAGCCTATTTATCGTGCGACAAGTCATTTCGATAAAAATTGCAATTTTGAAAAAACGACAGGACACCTCGTTAGAAGTAGCCTACGTGATCCCATTTACATTCTTGATACGAGGAAGTGATCGCATTTGTAATCGTGTGTACTGTCCAAAAATTTCAAATGGATTTAGCAATCGTAAAATAGATTTTCACGTACGTTTAATATAGGTGTGTATAAAAGTATTTTATTTTCTAAATTATATTATTTTTCATTTTAAGTTCGTATTTTTTTATTTTAAATGCAATTTTTAAATAATTTTATATAATAATGTATTGGTTTTATTAAAATTTTATTTACATTTCTAATGTCTATTTCTAATATAAAGGAGGAAACGGATAAAGAGAAGTAAACAATAAATGCAAGTTAAAAACTTTAATTAACAAACAATGATTCAATTAATACATAACATATTTTATTTTGTTAATTTAGTTAGCTTGGTTGGCTATTTACCTTTCAAATTATCTTTAAATAATTTCAAAAATATTTACAAAATTATTTTGAAAATTTTTGTGTAAATTACTTTATAGGTTATTTTGGAAATTATTTTATTGATTCTTTTAAAAACTATTTTACATATTACTTTGATAATTATTTTTAATATTATTCCATAAATGGTTTTTAAAATTATTATAAAAATCTAAAAACTATTGCAAAAATTATATATAAGACTAAAATGAATGAATATTTTTTGTCTCGTGCAAAACGCGATGTGTAAACTCAACAAATCGTTTGATCGATTAAGTCAAAATATTCACTAAAATCCGCAGGTGTTATCGGCGATCTTGCGATACCGACGCTCGCCTACCCCGTTACCATCATTATCATCGGCGTGCCGGGATCGAACGGCATTCGAAGAGCTGCGACTATGCGAGACGTACGCCCGAATCAAGCATCGAGGTCCAACATTTTGGTCTACCCATACTTAGTGTCAGCGAGCCCAGTCCGCCAGACGAGAACGACCGCGTGGACGATTATTTGTAGGATTTGCTTGCCGAGGACTTCCAAAAGGAGCTCCTCGTATGATCTCATGTACTCATCCCATTGCTTCGTGTGATTTGAAAACTCGAATCCGTGCATCAGTCAGAAGGTAACCTCGAAGCAGAAAAACTCTCGATCGCACAGCGACAAAACGAGGAACGACATTCTCGATTGTACTCAATTGTACTCGATACTAATCCCTCGAAACGAAATTCTTTACCATGTTTCATTACGACAAGTTCAAATCGAAATCTTCGGAATCAACGATGCACCGCGATCACGTGGTTTCAAATACGAAGCACGAGGCAAGGTTCACACGGTAAATTTAAATTCTCGAAGCGAGACTCTGGAACAATTTTTGATTATACAATGAGACGAAGGAGAGACAAAGGAATGGTGAAGGAAAATTTTCCACGGCGATGCTCTACGTATCCATGAACTGGTTGTTGAGACACTACATGGAAACCCGAGATGAAGTTTTCGATTGTGTGATGGTAAACTCGAAACGAAATATTCCGTCACAGGTGTGTTTCATCGATTGCCACCGATAACATTCAAATTTTGCAGTTTTACATGCAAACTTTTGGCGAAATAATCCACTTGCAAATGTCATCGATCGTTGTCCGTGATACCGGACTATACGACTTTATAGTTCGAGCGATACTGAGGTTGAAAAATTATTATATCTACCGATGGTTCCGAATAGTACCGCATTGACACGCTAGATGTCACTGACACTCAGAACCGACTGCAGTTCATAGCAGTAGGTATTTTAACGCGTAGCAGTGAAAGGGAAAAATATTGGTAACGTTTAATTTCAACTTAATTCATTAACTATATCAGTTTACTAATATTAAACTGTCTTTCATATTTTAGATATTTGGAAGAATTTGAACTTTTCATAAACCATTGTCGGCGATATCCAACACGAAAGTACTTATTCTAAATTGACGTTGTACGATTTGATTGCACTCAAATGCTTTATTTCTCTGAAATACCTTTTATGTTTCAGCAGTTGAAACGTTTGTACCTTTGCGTTTGATTCACTTTACGATCACATGTATCGCTCGAACTACCTATACGTTAGAGATCAAATTTTGCACGTATAATACGTTTTAATCATTCTATTCTAAAAAGTAATCCTTGAATCTGGTTTACACGGATTTAACCTCTGTGAGTAGTCAAATTATTCAGTTGTTCGGCAATTGGGGCACCTCGGCACATTTAATTTTGATACATAATAACAAATAGTTATTTGAAATAATGAAATATTTTAAATACTGTTATTTCTGTTTTATAGATAACATGAGAAAAATATGATAAACATTTGATCAAATAAACTATAAAATAAAAAATTATTTTATTTTGGAATCAATCTATTGTTTTTCTTTCCTTTTTAATTAGAAGTAATTTAAAGAAACAATCATTTGCTTATTTGATGATTATTTTGAACAACATTTAATCAATTAAAATAATATATTATTTTAACCTTCATTCTTATTTCGCATAATACCAAATACATACTACGTAATCAAGTGATTCTTAAACAAGAACTATATATTGTTCTTCATTGTGCATGTAAATGATTTTTTTTTTTTCTAATAATTATAAATTGATTTTCGAATATTCAAATAATAATTTTCTTTCATTAATTAATTATAAAAAATACTAAAAAGTAGTTATAAATGAGTCAAACATAATAAACGTTTCCTTCGTTACATCTCTGACATAGTATGTACAAATTTAAAGCGTCAATATTTTGTAAAAGTTTATAGCTAAAATGAAAATATAAATGAACGTAAAAGTGTGGAAAAAAATGTTCATAATAACACAAAATTGTTAATCTGAGTATAAAAATAATACCCAGATACCCAACTGTCTACACAGAGGTTAGGTCACAGCTATAAGGATAGTCAAGAAATAAAACGAAACCATGTAATAATTGAGATTTCGTTTTGAATCAACGAATTAAATCGGTTAAATGTCGAAATGAACCACAAGTAACATGGCGAGACGTCGAATCCATCGTACAATGTCAATTGCGTAAACGAATAACCTTACAAGGTTACACTTAAGAGCCAGAACTCCCAAAATACTTTTTGTCTCTCGTCATTTTAAATGTTGATTCGGTATGCGATAAATCGATATTTATTCCAAGGTACTTTATTCTACGGTGTAATAGATGTTTCGTGTGATTCGTACTAATACGTGTCCCGCCGTATCGTATCTGCCTACTTTCCTTCTCGTATTTCCGTGCGGCCTCGTTGACCGGTGCAGTCGATATGGAACAATGCAAACAATGAAACTCGTCGCAACGTACCAAAACACGGTGCCATTTCGCAGATATACCTCTTACGTAAGATCAATATTAAAATCGATCGCGAATATTGAGGCACACAGCCATGCAACAGACATACTGACTCGCTGAATTTTAGGAAATCTTATTTTATTGTTTTGTTATGTCATTAATATTTACCCTGTTTTACAAAATTTTGTAATTATTTATGTTCATGGTATTATTATTTGATATGGATACATGGCTGAAAAGAAAATCTTAACGATACGATAAAAATGTTAGAATGTGATTTATAGATAGAGAGGTTAGGTTCGTAGGGATGGCATATTGTAAAACATGAAAATTTTAATATGTATTGGTTAACATCCTTCACCTTAAAATTTGTATACGTTTACATTTATTGTATTGCTTAATTGGGATAAATAGCTAGAAAGTGTTAACAGCATGTTAAAAATATTGATTACAACATGCAAGATTGTTCTCGGACATCATGCAGTAATCAGAATTTTATACTTAATACTACAAAATGTAATTGATAAACCTTCATTTCTCAGAAAACTATATTTTACAAAACATCCCAATTCTATCGATACGATTTCTAAATCTTTGTTTAAATTTATTTCAAGTATAATATAGTTCTAAAAGTACATTAAAAATCGGTTATTTCAATGAAATTCGTTTAATTTAGCAATAAATGCTAAGCCTCTTAAGTATGAAGTCCAGACAAGTGCTCTCTTTATCCACTGCTAAGGATAGTAATGAGGTTATGTACGCCATATTGGAAAGCACGAGAAGAATTTTAATATTTGTCAGAGATCTTTTTTTATGTTTAAAGAAAGAGTCTTGTAAATATTTAACTACATCACGTTTCATGGTAACGAAAAGTACTTTAGTTCTATTTAACCTAACCTAATTTCTCGATGATGTTCGTGAAGTATATTAGTAATGATAGAGATAGACAGCGAAGATATCGAATTGTGAATTTAGTTGTAAATTTCAAGTCTCGTATTTTACATATCTGATGCAAATGATATACTGATTCAAATTGTTGAAATGAAATATGTATATCATTGTGATAAAACCGTGAACAAAGATATCTAGAGTGTACGCATGCGTCCCATGACGAATATGACACTTCGTATTTAAATTTTCGTAGTCTAAGGAAACCTTTTATTTTTCATCAGTGTTCGAAAAAGAAAAAACAAAAAAAGAGGTCGACCAGAGTCAATATTACGCATTCTGCTACAGAACATAGCAATGTCCTCGAGTATATTACTACATAAATCGTTCGTCTTTCCGTTTAGTAAATCTTAAGCAACGACTTAGCGAAAAGTACATTTCTGGGGCACGAATGTTAAGTAAATGTGCAAATTCTTGAACTTTCTTTTCTCATGACGGATAATTATATATCGATTATATACGATATGCTGTTTCATGTACGTATCGATTTCGAACATCGATCCCTACCACGCGCGAAATTTAAACATGACAAAGATAACTCATTTACACAGATTTCGTGTATCTCTTCTTTGTTAATTTATTCTTCGCTTTGCTTCCTACTTCTTCTCGTTTATTTATAGAATATTCCATAATTAATACCTGAAATTTATTAAATATCGATGAATACTTGTAAGAATAACATAAAAACGAAGAGAGAGTTTGAAATTTGCACGATTATTACCACTTATAAAAATCCATTATTATGCAGCAATGATAGATTGTGAAATATGTGCGACAGATTCAAGTACTTGCCCATATACCTCCAACATCGAAAACCAAGAGCTTATCAACTAGGTTAGTAGTAAAGTTTAATTTAAGTATTTTATTACCTATTACCTATTACACAACGTATTTTTGGACCAATCAGTATGATAAAAAGGGGGCCATGATTTCTTCATCGTATCATTCAATTTTTGTAATATTAAAGTACATACACGCATAAGAAAAATATTATGTCTTCGATCGACTAGTATCTTTTTTTGAATTCAAAAAAGATCAGCTATTCGAATGGAATTTCATTTTAAAACAGATCATTCCTTTTTTTTTTAATAGTATGATTTTTATTATATCAAATGATTTTTAGAGTACCACACTCAAACGATCTTGTTTATGTACGAACGTTACTTTAGTATACAATAATTCATTCGTTTTGATTATACCGATAGAAAACAATATAATATTGTCAAATTCGGGGACCAAATAAATAGTTATAAAGATACAACCAAGAAGTTACTAGCTTTATTTTTAAATATCTTTCAATTTTTCAATTTCTTTGCATTATATTTCATTCTATTTGTATGTATGTATTAAATTTGATTATTCCTGATAAATCAAGTATAGAAAAGGGAGAAGTGTTACGTTGATGAGAAAGAAATGACCAGTTAAGCAATTTTATCATGATAATATTTAATTTTATCAAATGGTACAATGTTGTCATCCTATACATTTTTTAATTAATTTTCAAATTAATATAACATTTTCTCTAATATAATTCCAACATTAGTAACTAAATATATAAATCATTACTTTGTCATCTTTATATTATATTTTAATTAACTTTTAAATTAATATAAAATTAATGTGAAATCAAAATTGTTTAATATTGCATATAAAAAGCAAATTATCCAAAAAAACAATGTAATTAAAGCATGAAATTCTGCACATGTTTTCTCCTATGAATTTATTTTGTATTTTTAAATACTTAAACAGCTTTTTAAAGTAAGATAACTGCAAAAATCATTGTAATATTATATAAATGAATTAATTAAAAACATAGTATATTCCTTCTAGAAGAAAAAATACATGAATTGCAAGAAATATTTTTTTTTTGTTTTTGTTAATGAATAAACGAAAAACAAAATTTACATTATGAATTATAATAACTTAAATATGTAAATACCGGCCATTTTTTTCCAACTATCCTAAAATTATTCTTATTAAAATTCTTAATTCTAATCTGATGAAATAATACATAACGCTCCTCCAATTTTATTTTTCTCTATATACTCAATAAAATATCGTAAATTCTATATTATATACAAGTTATTAAACTAACGATAAACATAAACGACCAACTGAAGGCGAACGAAAGTTATACTATATTTATTACAAAATTGCAAAATTAACATTATAAAGATAACAGATATCAGTTATGTCAATCGACATATTTCCTGAAACATTGAAAACAGAGAAGTAAATACTGTAATGTTTAAAACAGGTTTGTAACAATTACATGTCAGAAATGTAAAAAGTTTAAGATCAATAAAATCCTACAAAATTCGATATTCTATGATATATGATGAGGTAAAACTAACAAAGTCTGTAAATATAAATAAAACATATGCCTGTATCGCTTTTACCATAAAACAGCTTTACGTAAAAATACAATTAATAATTTCATAATTACCAAAGTTCTCAGACATATTCATTCCAAAAAAAAAAAAAATTATTTCGAAGTAAAATATAAACATATATGATAATTTTAAACAATTTATTACTTACGACGTTTGCTACTTTCGCTCTATATTTATCAGCGCAACTTCAATTCTATAACATAGAAGTAACATGGTGGACGTAGCGCGCAATTACCGCTTCCTTAGTTTCTTTGTTGCAAGTGCCCAACTACGAATACTGTCGCACGTATTAATCGAAGTTAAGTAGATGACTAATACACAACGTAC